AAATAAATATATATAATGTATTAAGTAGATATAAAGATATGTATCAAAACTTAAAAATAAATCTGCTGGCACTTTATTCATGTTTAAAAGTGTTTTATCGTACATACATACGTATAAACTTTTTTTAACTGTTAACGTCAGAAAAAATAGATCAAAGCCACTTTCTATCACTAAGCCTCAGAAAAACATTCTCAAATTCTGGGACAACTGATAAAATTTAAAGTTCGATATATATAAAAAGCATAATAATGCTAGAATAATTTAATAATGTTACTTTATTTTTTTTTTTTAGTAAAGGACGGACGTCATAGATTCTTTAGAGCATCTTACAATCTTGACAATTATGTACTTTGTAATAAATTCATTGGTCATAAAAAAAAATTTCTTTAAAATTATATCCAAAATACGGCAACATTATTTCTTGTTTGTTCGAAATCTCCTGCACACAAATCTCTATAAACCTTGAGCTAGTATCACTCATCTCTCATTAAAGCAATAATTGTTTTTCACTGTTATGTAAACAAGAGATTTGATGCTTATAAATCCGTTTACGATTGGAACTAAATAGTCATCAGGAACATATACTCAATTTATGCAAAAACTTTCTTACTAGTTAGCATATTTCAATTTTTTTAAAAAAAAAATTCTGAATAAGTTAGGCTTAATGTAATGTGTCTTTCTTAATCGATCTGGCAAGCTTTCCAAATTTATTTCAATTATAACAATAGAATCCGGCCGAATAATCGGTCAATTATCAGTTGTTCCAGAATTTATGAGAACAGCTGTATATGTCCATTTACGAATCCGGTTTCAGATATATAGTTTATTGTTAAACCGGATCTTATTATCGTTATTACAACTGTTTTCATAAACTTAAAAATTGGCTCGTTTTTTAAAATCTCTTCGATCTCGTTCTAAGAATCACGTAACTTTTCGAAAACTACGTTGCTGTCACTGTATCGACGCTTCAAAGACATCGAAGTAGTTTCCGAAAAGTTACATATTTCTTAGAATGAGATCGAAGAGGTTTCGAGAAACGAGGAGTGTCCCAGAATTTATGAAAACAGCTGTAAATCCGAATATAAATAATTAAATCTGAATCCAGGTATTAGCTATATCAAGAATCACAAGAATTTTAACATTAAATTTCTTTTAAAGAAGTGGAAAGAATCGACAATTTGTTTTTGCAAACAATTCAATAATTTTGCAAACAATTCAATAATGTAAATAAATATAGATAGCAAAACGATAAACTCGTGGCGGATGCTTCTACCATTGAATAGATGCAATAAACAACAAGCCATCGTATATATTTGAACGCGGACGTCGTTTTTTTAGTTTGCTTCATCAATTTAATGTTTATTGTTTAAAGTCCCACAAATGTAAAAAAAAAAAAAAAAAAAGTTTGAAATTTCTGAAGTTATATAAGTGCCTTTTTAATTGCATTGTAAGTTTAAAAAAATTATTATAACAAACCATCGATCATATAAAAAAAAAAAATAGCTCCAGATCGAAACCGCAAAGATTTTATTTTTGTACTACAGCAAAGAAAAAAAAAATAAGAACATCAATAATAATGATTTATACGGGTGTCTGCCTTTGTTTATCAATTATCCCAAATTTAATTCTTGCATTCCTTTGCCCGGTCCTTGGTAAGTCATTGAAAATTTTTGTAAATTGTTCTTTTCGCTGTGAATACTAAAAGATATTTCTTTATATCACAAAATAACGACATTTAGAAATAGCAAAGCTTAAATTTTTTAGTCTATCTGGGGGAGAACTATCTTATAATATATGGGTCGAATTCACGTAAATAAATATCTTTTTTTTTTTTTTCTAAGAAAAAAAAAAAAGTGGCATATTTTAAATTGATTATTTTATAGATACCTGGTTCTTACATTGTCAATGATTAGTACGCGACTTTTATTTAAATATAATTATAACCAGAAAACTATGTTTTTAATCCCAAATTGATAAATTTGTTCTAGACGTATTTTTCCTAATACATTGTTGTTGTATCTTCGAATATGGTGATTTAGTCTGGTATTTCAAGTATGTACGTCACACTTTTCGTTTCCAACTTGATACATTTATCAATAATTTGAAATTCATTGAACCGAAATTATAAGGATCGTGGCAACCATTTGGTTAATTTTTCCATGTACGTACTGACGTAAGAGAAATGATATATATATACCGTTTTTTAATGTCATTAACAGTATCTAAATTTCTACTATTTATAAAGTTATTTACACACTTATTACCATCAATGAAATGGGTGACATTCCATTTAATTGTCCATCAGATTACCCATATACAACTCGTACGATATTAACAGCATGTAAAATTCGAGAAGCAAATTTGATCTGTATGTGGTTATACCTTGCAACATTAATAATTATAATACCTCTTTTTTTGTCATTGCGTAATGCGAGAAATCCTGACTTTGAACGGGAAACAAGCGGTTTTCTTGGTATTTTTGATAAACTGGGATTAGGTATCTCAAGAAGACAACCACCTGGGTCACCTAGATTGGATTTAGAAGATGATCCGAAGAGTGAATATAGGAAGTCAGTACTGATTTTTGACGCTGGTAGTCCGATCGTCGAGGAGTTTAGTAACAGACATTAGTGATATGAAAGAATGTTTTAAAGTATTAAATTTACATATAAGTTTGCTTATATCTTTGAATAAAATCTTGACAATATTTCTATTGATTAATCTTATATATATATATATATATATATATATAATAAATAACATCAAAGTAAATTTGCAATTTTTTTTTATGTTTCTTTTGCTTTTGAATGATATATTAGTTCTTTTGGCATCTAACAAGTTCTTTTATCAATCATTTTAGTGCTCTTCTACAATAATATATCAGGGTCATTTCTCGCCTCGCTGCGCGTGTTAAAACATTATGGACAATTTACATATGCTCATATATAGTGGTTTTAGTAGGAAAATGATATTCAAATATTCATTTATTCGATCTTTTTATTATCAAACATTCGATATTTATTAAAATTTAGTAATAATTTAAATTAAATAAATTCAATATATATACAGTATATATATATATTCATATTTAATTTTATTATAACGTATATAAAATTTTATTAAATATAAAAATCTATATACTGTAAGTAGTTATTTACTAGTAATTTTACGACTAAGAAATTAATTTAAATAAACTATATACTATATATTGTCAAAGAAAAATATTATATAGACAGTTTTATTAAAGTTATAAAACATTATAGAAAAAAACCAATTATACACTAAATAAGCATAAAATAAAAATTAAAATTAGAAAATTATCATTTATTACTGTATTATACAATACTGTATATAGTAAATATAGCCTTTTTAAAAAATTTTCAATTAACTGTTTTTGAGTATCTAAAATTTAGCTATTTGATAATTAATTTTAATAAATGTAGCAAATTATAATAAAACTTCTATTAACTTTAAGAAAATTATTAATAAAATTTTGGACTATTTTAACTTTATCTAATAACTAATTATACAGTAATTATTATATTTTATTATAATCTAGCTTTTATTTATACTATAATAACAACTATATACTGCATATACTACACTGTATATACAGTAATTATATATATATTATAGTTAACCATTTTTAAGTAGTAATTTACTTAAAAAATTTAGCACTATTTCAAAATAAAGTTTTTATTAAATTAATTTCTTTATTTAATAATAATAGCAAAATTAGTTCAACTATTTAATAAATACTTTACCTTTTTTTATAAATATATAAAATTTATATTTTAATATTTAGAGTCTTATTTTTAGGCAAAAGTTAGAATATAAATAACAGGATGAAAGAAATTTATTTACTCTAACTTAAAAAGATCATATGGCATTCTCTGCAGTTACGAGGCTGATTAATCTGATTACGAAATTTAAGTCGGGCTATGGTTTGTTTTGATTTTATAATATTTCTTTGTTTATGATAACAAACATAGCCAATAACCTTTTTAAAGTACATTTATGAATCCAAATTACTTTAATTTTTTTAAACTTTCTTTTCTTAAATATAATAATTGCAATCATACAATTCAATAATTAATTAAATTGGAGGATAAAAAAGTCTCGACCGATTCATAAAGACGCAAAAATCAAATTGATATCAATATAATATCGTGATGGGTTATAATATCCGAATTTTTTTCCTTATTCTACTGATGGTTCCATGTTGTATTTTAACATTTGTTTGTCCTATACTTGGTAAATAAAATGCGAAATATTTTTTAATTATGGTTTGTTTTTTTTTTAAAATATCAATTTAACAATTATATTTATTGATTTAGAATCTCAAAAAATTACTCTTTTTGAAAAGACAAATGGAGAACTTAAAATAAATAAAATAGTTGAATACACGTAAGGTTGACTTGATTGTATTGTCTGATGAGTCTTCAAATGTAAATTTTAATATGTAATTAACAGGTACCTGATAATCACGATTTTAATTGCTGGTACGCATATACCTAAATTTATTTTAACAACTAGTACTATCAATATTATTGAATTTGGTTTATAATTGAAACATATTATTTTTAGTCATAAATGTTTTTGCTTGCCTTTGTTGTGCCTACTTCAAATACGGTGCATTAGACATTAAAAATGTGTAAGTTGTCCTTCAAAAAAAGTTTAACCGTTATTCGATGATCTCACCTTCAAACAATAATAGGATCGCCACGATTACTTGGTTGATTCTTCCTGGTAAAGTTTTTCCATCTTCAACATCTCATTACATCATAAAAGCAATTTTATTTAAACCTTTTTTTTATTTTCTCATTAAAAGTTGCCTACACTTATTTCACTGCAAATGAAATGGGTGACATCCCATTTAGTTGTCCATTTGATTATCCATATAATTCATCGATAATCAAAGATGCTTGTCAAATTCGTTCGGCAAATTTAGTTTGCATGTGGC